ACACACACACACACACACACACACAAGCGCACGCACGCACAAGCCCCTATCATCCCACACACATAGTTATTACTGTAGCAGTTTAGAATAATAAGACAAACAATGTATGAGAGCTGTTTGTCTTGTAAAGTTCCTCAGAATATAATTTACTATGTATCGACACTTTATTAATGAATTGAATTAAGTCATATAACTAACACTTTTAGATTAAAATGTTGCCATTGCAGTGAACAGCAAGTGTTTGTTTACAGGGAGGTACGGTTCTAATTCAATGGGACGGGGTGTTAGTCCCTCAACCAATCAGCCTATACATTCACTGGAACAGGCGGTGTGAAGGCGGGACTAGACGCCTTCACAGCCAATAGACGCTAACCGTCCTCTGAGCTTAGAGAAGTTAGCAGACGGGTGCCAGTCTGGTCTGTAGCCACGATGGATGCAATAGCATGCCTTCTGCTGGTCCTGCTGTTCGGGACAAGGTTACATGATATTGACGGTAAGAGTCATTTCGTGGAGATTTTGGAGCTGTTCGTCCTGCTTTAAAGTGTTCTTGTGGGTTTCACTCTTGGCCCGGAGAGCTCCGTTAGTAAAGCTCTTTGTTGAAGAAGCCCGTAAAAAGCGGAGTGTATGCAACTAAGATGGCGCAGGGTCTGTGGCCAGCCCGCTACCGCCTGTCTCAGGAATGTTTATTGTCTGGCTGATGGGGGAAAACAAGCAGGGAGCTTTAATCAAACCCGGAGTTAAAAGACGTGTTGCTGTTCGCGCTGTAGCTAAGCTGGCCGATGTCTGGACTCAGTTCGCCCACAAAGAGCGTTCGGGTCCGCTGTTGTTCAGGGGAGTTGTCGGCAGTTTAGCTAACACAAAGTTGTCTGGATTTCTCATGTGACGTTTGATTCTGTGAGGTAGAAGTTGGTTATTGACTTTGTGGTCGGATCGTTGCTTCGGGTAGACATTTCAGCTCCAGATGTTGCTCCCGAGACATGAATACCTGCGCACGCGTGTGTGTATAATTCAGTGCGAAGCGATTGTTTCTAACTTACCGTAGTTACTCATTTCACATCTCTTCATTTCACCCCACGGCGTTGTTGTGGATATTGCGGAAACCTTTGAGTGCTCTTTGATATCCAACGCGCTATTAAATAATTGTTACTGTCTACACATGAACCAGTTGTTACTGTTTAATACCCACCAGAGGGCTGATTTTCAGCAGGTTTCCATGTTCAGTTCGGCTCTGAGCTTATTTACCAGTGAGCTGAAGTTAGCTTCTGATTGGGCTAAAGCAGGCGCGTCCAACTCATCTTCATTTTGAGCCATATCAAGGTATTTAATGTTCTCAGAGGACCGGCTATTACAGAATGTATTGATAAAACCCATTAAACTTAAAATGTTCATAAATACAGGTAAATAGTGCTTGTTAAAATGAAATAATATGGAACTTTTTTCACATTGGTGTAATTTGGCACTAATCAGATAAAAACTGTTTTGACTTGGTTGATTGATAATGTTTAAGCATATTGCTGTTTTCTAGAAGGTTCTTATATGTGACCCTGCATCTTTAGGTAAAATGCATAAGACTCTTTGAAATACACCTTTTGTGTTTTTACAGGATAGAGTAATGTTTCACAGATCATGTTTTTGTTTGCAGAATATACTAGGTTTTGATCTAAACCAGAATAAACAATTGTGTCCTAAAAAAAATGATGAAAGAAGCCAAGAACTGCCTGTCAGATGTTTACATCAGCACTTTGCAGATATGTTGGTTTAGTTTCACTGCAAGTATTGATTGTAGGATCCCAACCGGTGATCTCCCAGTAGAACCTGCTGGTAATCCCAGTGAACACACACATTTTGGTAAGCGTTTGGTCTAATTTAGCTCGAAGAATATGGAGACTGTGAAGGGTCCGGTGTTATCTGGGTTATAGATGAGCAACATTTAATTTCCTTGAAGATAAAATAAAAGTGTCTGCATCTCAATCTGGTCACATTCCAGTGGGTGTTTACATGCTGCTGAGGAGTTTTCCCTTCTCTAGACCCAACATGTCTCATATGAACATGCATACAAAGAGACAGTCTAGATTTTCTCTAATTTGGAGACTAACATGTTTCCTTTGTGTAGAGAGAAAGAGAGACGGGGCGGGCGAGGAAGCGTCAGCATGAATGGAGGGAGGGAGGTTTTCCATCAGCAAGCAGAACAGTCTCAGTCGAAGCAACTGCTGGCTGGCTCTTAAATTGATTTGTTGGTTCAATTTAGGGAGGGAGGGAAGGAATTCCTCGTCTTTGTCCAGCATCAGGACTATCATGGCAGGTTGGTGCTTGGCAGCATGGAACTCGGCCATCTCCACCTGACTGGAGCCCAGCGTGCTGTCTCTGACGGGAACAGAGCCAGGAGATACTGCCCTGATCTGAAGCATCCGATCTCTGCTGGCTCCGCCGTCACGTTCTGCTCAGCAACACACCCTGCAGCAGCAACAGCACGCTCACACAACATCGGTAGGCTACGAGGAGAACCTCATGCTAACATAGACTGCTTCCAGAGCTACCAGAGATGATCTGTTCCTGTAGATGTCCAGAGAATGACTCATGTCTGGCTGACTTCCTCTGTTTGCACCGTGTCATTACTTCATTCCTCTGCACAGCCAGCTCACTGCTGAGCTGCTGTCCTGGACCAGACGTCTGGACTCTGAAATGTTTTATCCTTTAAATCGTCTAAAATAGCAACACTCCATAAAAATAGGGTTTGTAGGCCATGTGATGATTCTTCACAACACCGCGAATAAAATTGAATCCATTTAAGGAGCATGGAGCACAAAACATGTTGGGCAGTTATAAACCAATATTTTAGTAATTCAGTATTCTATTGATTATTAAAGAATTTTATTCGATTAATCAAGTAATCGAATAAAATATTGGTAAATGTAGCATAACAGCAGTATTACTATCAGCATCAGTTCAATTTTTCGTATTTGAGCATCCCTAACAATTACTTTTCTGTAGTCTAGAAGATGAACAATAATAACTCACTAGAAAGTGAGTTATTAACCTGAAGAAAAATTATACAAAAATCTGAAATTATAATCAGTTTAATAATAAAGAGGCAGGCCCACAAATATGCTTAAAAAATGTCAATTCTCCAGCTTTTAGTTTATGTATTCATCTTCAGTCAATTTAATAGATAAACTCACACCTTGTCCAGCAATTTATAGCTCTTGTGTCCATATTAAAAACATGGTGCGCTAAATAATAAAACATAATTTAATGAAGTTTCGAGGTAGATAAATTTTCCTCGCGGAATTTTAATAATCGAGGTACTCAAATCATTTGAGGAATCGCACACTCTCTAAAAGATCAATAAACTAATTTCTTCAGAACATTTAACACTGGAACTCAAAGATACTTTAAATATTAAAAATATATAAACAGACTAAATAAATAAAATAGATTGTGAAGTCTCTGTAAACAAGCCTACCCTATAAAATATACTGGCTATACTGCCAGGTAGAACTTTAGTGGGGAAAAACGTGCAAACTTACTGTGTGCTGGGTGTCAAATGTTTTCAGGATCTTTTGAAATTCTGGTTTATTAATTAGATTAAAGATTAAGCAACCTGTTTTGGTGCACACTGTTTCACTGTTTGTATTTAGTTGTTGATTAAACACCTTAGTGATTGTGGACTGTCAGTAAGACAGTGACAGCCCATTGTTTGAAGTTTTTTTCACCACGCTGGTAAACCTCCATTGAATGATTACAGTTTAGATATAGATACATGTTTGTTGGGTTGCCGTGTTTAGTTGCTACAGTTTTACGACACAGGTTCATTCAGACTGTCACGTTTGGTTTTTAAACCAGCGTTTCTCTGGCTCTCTCCTCCTCACCGGGCTTAATGCTGCACTCTGTACCGGACCATAAGCCTGGCAGGTAACTGATGCTTATTTGCTCATCCTTATGGACACAGGACCAGTGCCACTCCCTCTTCACTCATCTGCTATGGAACTAGCGTGGAGAGGCGACAGTCTCTTGTCCTAGATGTGTCCAGGCAAGCATGTAGATGTGTTTGCCTGGGCACATCTAGATGAAGAATGTTCAACTTTTGTTTACTTTCCCCGTGTTTACCCCCAGTGAATTTCTGTTACCGTTTGCCACTCGTCTTACATTGAAATGTGTTTCAGTTTAGGATTTAAACAAACATGGAAAGAGTCCAGGATTATTCCATTTCTGTTCCTTGTCTCATTCTTTTAGTCTTTCTGGGATTCTTTTTCCAACTGAGCTCAAAACAAAGTGCTTTGGGCTGGTTGTTGCTATGGTTATAGGCAGTTTTCAGATGTGATGAGTCTACTGCATGAAAGAAGAAAACTAAAAGTGATTTGATGTGGTGATCTGTAATGTTATGCAGTGGCTCTTCTGTGCTCATGGGACATTTAATCTGTCTCAGTGGGGATTGTAGTCATGGTGCAGTTACAAGGTTGTAGGTTTGATTCCAGCTTGCTCCTGTCACCTGTTGACTAACTGTTCATCTCTACATGTGACCTCATCTGACTGCATCATGTGAAAGTAGATGAATATTTTTTTCATGTTATCTGGGATGTTTTAGTTGCTTCTGCTGGGAGACAACATTGCATGTGTTATGTGCTTCTACCAAATGCTTGTGTATAGTTTTCCTTGTATATATGTGTGTGTGTGTGTGTGTGTGTGTGTGTGTGTGTGTGTGTGTGTGTGTGTGTGTGTGTGTGTGTGTGTGTGGGTCAGTGTCTCAGAGTGGAAGAATGTCAGGCATGTGGACGACCCCGACTGCCTGTTGTCCAGGTGCAGGAACCACAACTAATTGGAAGGGTTTTCTAGATGCTAGTAGCTGCTGGATCCAAAGGGACAAATGCAGCCCAGGAGTAAATTAATGTTTGAGCTCCACAGAGATGGGCTCTCTTTGGAAAAGTTCAGGTAAGTCTGCTCCTATGGCGGCAGATATTGTTCTCATACTGGAAATTGGACACCTTCCATCAGATCAGATTATCGTTAGAATGGTTTTACCTTGACTTAATTCAAACTGAAGATAATTATTATTATTATTATTATGCTTTTTGTAGCAAGCATATGCCCATTTGCTAGGTGTGGTTTACCCTGTTGCTGAGTGTGGTCATGGTAAGCTGACTAGCACCAGAGGTCAATCACACCTAACAACCACAGAGTTGCTAGGTGTGTTTCAGATCTCCTCTTCAGCTGATCATTCAATGTTAATCTGGACATAACTGGGTTTTAACCTATCAGTTAATGTTCAATCCCTGGATCATATGTGTTTCTGGTTGTCCAAACACTAGGAACTCTTGGAAGGAAATGACAGCATGACTGCCAGTGTTCCCTTTGACAAACACCATCTTGAGTTAGCTTCAATGTTAACAGCAAAGTGTGAAGCAGCTGGTATCTACTTCAGGGCCTTTAGTCAACCTGAACAAGAGGCTGACTGTGGAGATCCTGCTGGGTGTAACAGAGACAACTGGGCTGAGG